AAATTGGGCCCAAACAATAAAAAAAACCTGTATATAAACTGGTAAAAAAAAAAAAAAACCTGTATATAAACTGTATAATGGCTTTGGTAAATTAGCAAATGAAAAAACTTTTGCTTTTGCGTGATACTGCATCCACACCACTAGGTGTCAAGTCCAAGACTGTAATTTCTGTGTGGCATAAACAAAAGATTGAGTGCATTTAAAATATTTTTTAAAGTATAATCAAACAACATCACATTTAAACCACACTTTCAAAATATTTGCCTGAAAGATGCACTTGATGTGATCATAATAACAGCTCAACATGTGAGTCTCATTCAGACCCTTCCCCCTACAGTATAACAATGAAAACACGGATTCTAGGAGCACAATTATAGCTAAAATATATTTAGACTATATATTATAGTATAAGTATAAGTCAAGTATACTTAAATGTCATTTTAAGTCTATTTCTGAGAAGTACATAAAGCCCATATCTGAGAAGTACATAAAAAGTAGACTAAAAGTAGACTTTCCTATTTTTAGTCTAAAAGAAGTATACAAATAGCACACTTGAATAAATTTATTTTTCGTAAGGGGAGCGATGGAGCTGAGCAAACAAAAATGCAGTTTGTTCTGGTATAATTACCTCCAATGCTTATGTAAATCCTATGTGACACACCTTACTCCGGCACAGCCTAAACCAGGGACAGTGTGCTATAATTAGATAAATAATAATCAAACCTAAACCCAGCTGTCGCCAGGAGAGACACATCTCGGCTATTGACTGAAATGTTATATAAAGGATTGGATGAATTATAGTCTCTGAATAATTAATTTGGTCTATACACTTTTGGAGGAAAGCACTGGTGATATATTCAGTCATAGTGATGGGTGACTCGTATTCAGATGCTAATCATTATCTGATTATTAATTTCGGGTTGGAGGGAAGAGGAGTATGTGAACGGCTGTCGTGTTTCACAAACCCATATCATTTAGAAAGAGGTACCTGGCAAAACTAATCAGCTTTGATGTGTTTGGTCCTTGCAACGTATCCAATTTCCCTCCATCATGTTCTCATCTAAGTCTTGCGGTTCACATTTGGATAGAAAAAAAAACCTGCAACCAAAACTGAAAACATGTTTTTTTATGACTCAGCACAAGTGTCATGTAACCTTTCAACTTAAACTGTCAATAAACCTCAATCTCTAGCAGTTTGTGTGTGAATTGTACTGCCTCTAATGTTTCTCATGACGTCGCATGGCGCCATCTGGTGACTATAAATATGGAGTTCTGATAAATATTAATAGCATCTAAGCAAGGCTTGTTCAAGCTAAAATATCGGGGTTTTATATTTTAAGCTTGTCAAGTAACATGAATGTGTATATTTGATTATAGCCTATTTTTATTTTTTATATACCCTGTATATAACCGAATGAATCAGAATTAGATAAAATCACTGAAAGGCGTAAAACTCTAAATGTTTCGTTTTCAAAACTCCCACTTCCCGCGCGACTCCTACCGCTTGTGTTTAAAATTGGACGTCAGCGTGACGTCAGACGTCGCTTGTAAGAAACAGATATTTTACTCTAGTGTTGCCACTCTAGTAGATTCTTTCCTGTTGGCAACAATTTATCAATTTATCTTACTCAAAAGGAAATTGTTAATGTAAGTACAAGGAGGATGTTCACCGCAAAATCGTTTTTGTATTTTGTAGCTAAATGTCAGTCCCAACGCTAAACGTTTTCATGCCAATAAAGAATACTGAAACAGATTTGCTGTTACAATGGCGCTTTGACAATGTTGAAATAGAAACCAGAATCTTGAATAAAATAAGGAATTGGTCGGGGTTTTGTATAAAACATGTAGACTTTATATGCACATTTTAATACATATCGACCCTAATATGCTATTTTTCTTAGGGGTGTTAATTGGAAATCTAATTCTCATTTGGGTGATTCACATTGATTACAGGCATGGCGCAACACATTGCAGTTAAGCATTGATAATACTAATTTTATACATATATAGATGATATCGATATAACATTTTAAATAAACCGCACTGCAAACTGGCAGTGGTGAAATGTGAGCCCATTCCTCCATTTACACGTTTTATTCTGGGAAGGTAACAGTAACCGTATATAACGCTCATTCTGTCAGTGTAACTGAGAGTGGCATAGCTAGAGTTAGAAGAACTCAGCATTGGATCCCACACCACGTGTTGTTTTGGCGCTTTACCGCATTTCGCTGACACCCAAACAAACGTGTCGTCAAGATGGCTCGTTTACTCTGAATCGATTGATTTTTTTAATCTACGGTTTTTAGATATTTGAACGGCACGGGTTCAGGTACCGTTAAACATTAATTTTACGTTCAATTTCTGCATTGTACCTCGCTAGTCATTTGTACCAACATGGAAGTTCACGGCAATGTTATGTAATCTACTAGGGTCTCTAATGGGTTTCAGTTATGAGCCTATTATTAAAAGACACTATGAAACGCTCTGGTCATAGCATGTAGACTTTATATGCTAGAGACACTTTAGTGAATGATGCTTTGGCTTATTTTGCTTTTGTTTACAAGGTCATCATGGTGTACAGTTTGTCCTTTCTTAACATCATCTGCTTGGGTGTTGCAGAATTTGGCATGATCATTATAAATGTACGTTTAGTTTAATTGCTATTGTCTGTTTTTCCACCAACGATATTATTAATGATTTACTTGTGCCAGTGTCACTTTCTTGGATTGATAGCTTGGTTTTTGTTGTTTGCGTTTCACGTAATGAAAAGAAGTCTTTAAAACATCGAGTTTAAAACACATGGGCCAGGTTTAATCTTTATATCTATGTTAGCTTCACATGTTCAAAATGGATAAATACCATTTTCAACAAAAAAAATGCATTTAATGATACAAAAAGTCAAGTGTTAAAAAGCACAAAGTGCTTGTACCTTTTCAAATGATTTTATGCTTAAAAATTCCCTTGATCTTTTGACATATAAGAGGTCATTGTACTATAAAAACATCCTGTAAGAGTCATTTGTTGATGGATTTCTTATGTGTATTTATAATATTTTAAGCAAAACTAGTAAAACAAATATGCTAAAACTATTGCGTGTTCTGAGGGTTATGAATGATTTATATTTGAGTTTATGCTAAAAGTATTTAATAAAAGTAAGACCTTTTCAATTTTACAATCTCTAGACAGCTACTAAAACTAGTAATTTTTATCAAAATATTAATTTATAAAAGTATTAATGTAATAAAAATGTTTTAAAAATTATTCCAAATTTGAGTTCATAAACTGACTTGTTCATCATAGAAGAGGTGTATTCAAGGAATTGTTATGAATTGCATTTCTATGTGTTTTTGAATAACAGTCAAACCAAGTAGTTATCGATCCACTTACATTTGTTATTCTGTTTAGATATACAACAGAATATTTTTTGTGGCTGATTGTTACGTTGTATTACATCATTGTTGAAATAAGCATCATCATCTTTCTTGTACTGATAGACGCTGTTGAATAATGAAGTACATACTGGTGACAGGCGGTGTGATATCTGGCATTGGTAAAGGCATCATAGCCAGCAGTGTGGGCACTATACTCAAATCATGTGGCCTGCATGTCACTGCTATCAAAATCGACCCCTACATCAACATCGATGCAGGCACTTTCTCTCCCTATGAACATGGTAAGTGCAGGCTACTTTAAAGAGATTAGCCTCATTTGAAATGTTATGTTGACGATACAGAAATATGAACTGCTACATGAGATATTTGTTTTGCAAATTGGTTATTCATTAATTTGTCCTACAGCATATATAGAGCATAACGTCCTGATGGCTCTGACAGCTGTCTTTTGTTCTATCTGTGTCTGCATGCCACTGTCAATCTCTCTGACGCTCTGTTTAACAGGTGAAGTGTTTGTGCTGGATGATGGTGGTGAGGTTGACTTGGATTTAGGGAACTATGAACGTTTTCTAGACATCCGGCTAACCAGGGACAACAATTTGACAACGGGGAAGATCTATCAGTCTGTTATAAACAAGGAGAGGAGAGGGGATTACTTGGGCAAAACTGTACAAGGTGAGCTCCACAATGTCACGAGGATTTGAACATAAATATGAAATGTGGCATGAGGAAACAGGATTATCTCAGTCTTGTCTGAGTTTGAGCCTAAAATAGACTTGGACTATATTTTTGTGCATTCTGTTATATTCAGTATGCATTGTATCTGTGCCTATACAGCCATACCATTACACTACCATTCAAATATTTGGGGTCGGTAATTTTTGGTCGTTTTTATTTTTCTCTTATCCTCACTAAAGCTGCATTTATTTGATCAAAAATGTAGTAAAACAGTAATATTGTGAAATATTATTAATACAATTTAGAATAATTGTTTCTATTTGAATACATTTTTGTTTTATAAGTAATTTATTCCTGTGATGGCAAAGCTGAATTTTCAACAGCCATGTCTTCAGTGTCACATGATCCTCCAGAAATCATTCTAATATGATGTTTTGATGCATTTCTTATTATAAATGTTGAAAATAGTGTACTGCTTAATATATTTGTGTAACCCATGATACCTCAGATTCATATGCCTCTGTTATTAAAGCACTGGAGCACTCTGCTCTCGCCATCAACTATAAGCTAGAGGTCAAGGTAAGGAATGCCAGAGGAACTAGTAGCAATTTTCTGTGCTTTTATGATGAAGGTGATAGTTTTGCCCCATCTGAGAGTGTCTTTTGAATTCAATTGGAATTTTTGCATATTTCACAATATTACTGTATTTTTGGTCAAATAAATGCTTAGTGAGCATAAGAGACTTTCAAAAACTTTAAAAAAAAATGTACCTTCATTCCAGTACATTGATTCGGCAGACCTGGAGCCAGCAGCGTTGCAGGAGGAGCCGGTGAAGTACCATGAGGCCTGGCAGAAGCTCTGCAGGGCTGAGTGAGTGTACTCTCAAAAACACCGGAAACCAATGTGACTAACAACATAAACTCTGTTTTGTCCATCAACAGAGAACATTTAAATTATACGTTTTATTCAGATGGTGTTATTTCAGCTCTGTGGGCTCTTGGATAATGTTAACCAATATCCAAATAGCTATTTAGGCTTTGTATTAGCTAACTTTAATTTGTTCTGGCTTCATTCTGGCATATACCGCTCCACTTTTTCACAGTGTAATCAATACTCAATGGATAAATACAGGTCCTGCTTTCATTATTTTTCCTCATGTCTATTTATCAAAGAATCTTGAAAAAATGTATCATGGTTTTCACAAAAATATTAAGCAGCACAGCATATGTCACATTATGGTTGTACAATAGTTTACAAACTGCCATTCACTTTGAATATTTATTGATCGAATGTTTATTTGACTATTTCAATGTGCTATTAGTGGGGTTCTTGTTCCTGGAGGCTTTGGTGTGCGAGGCACTGAGGGAAAAATCCAAGCCATTAACTGGGCGAGGAGACAGAAAAAGCCATTTTTAGGTAACAAATTCTATTCAGAAAACTGGCAGTGTTATGTAGTGTTATTTTGAGAGCATGCCTGTGGTTACATTTGAAATCAATCTAAATCTCGTTTGGCAGGTGTTTGTTTGGGCATGCAGCTGGCAGTGTGTGAATTTGCTCGTAATGTACTTGGCTGGGAAGGTAAGAACACCCATACCAGATTTTATGATATTTCTTTTAAATCAAACTTCGCACATGCTTTTAAAGTGTTTTTATTTGAACTTCATTCCTCTTAACAGATGCCAATTCTACAGAATTTGACCCTGAAACAAAACATCCAGTGGTAGGTAATGTTTTGGTAAAACAAATTAGCATATCTGCATTATGATTCTTTTTCTCGTGGTGTGATGAGATGTGTTTGTGTTATCAGGTGATTGAAATGCCCGAGCACAATCCTGGGCAGTTGGGAGGAACCATGCGGTTGGGAAAAAGGCGCACTTTGTTCAAAAGCACCTCCAGCGTTCTTCGTAAGTTGTGATCTTTTGTGCCACAGTAAACTGTGAAAGTCACTTATCACAAAATTAAAAACTGATACTGTATTTAAAGGTTTTAGATTTGAATGATATTTGAATTGTTTTGTTGTAGGAAAGCTGTATGGAGATGCTGAATATGTGGACGAAAGGCATCGACATCGCTTTGAGGTTCACTTAATATTAACAAAATGACTTTGTTATGTACAAGTCCCCCCCCCCCCGGGCTAATGAGTTTCTTTTGGATTTTTCTAGGTGAATCCAGAATTGAAGCACCACTTTGAAGATAGAGGTTTTCGATTTGTGGGTCAGGACCTGGAGGGGGAGCGAATGGAGATCATTGAACTTGAAGGTCAGTGAATCTCCAATATCTGAATCTGTCTGGAGAAATAGTCGGTATTTGCTTCAGCTTGTTTCTTCTGTCACGACAGATCACACTTATTTTGTCGGAGTGCAGTACCACCCAGAATTCACTTCTCGCCCCATCAAACCCTCACCTCCTTATTTTGGCCTTCTACTGGCAGCATCTGGGAAACTACAGAACTATCTACAGAAAGGATGCCGGCTCTCACCTCGGTAATTTGCCTAATTAACTCTCTCAGATGAGCGTCACCATTTAAAATTGTTACCAGCAGTATGTCTTATCTTATGTTTCTTCTCTTTTTCTCTCAGGGACACATACAGTGACCGAAGTGGCAGTAGTTCACCAGACTCTGAGATATCTGAAATCAAGTTCCCATCACTTTCTTAAAGTGGAAATACATATAATCATGAAAACATAACATTCATGACATGAATTTAGAAATTTGAATAAATGGATAAAAAAAAAGATAATGTGTCATTTTTAGGCAAAATATAAGAACACTGAACATGTTTTTAAACAAGTGTTCTGTGATATACTCGCAATGAAACCATATAGGGAAAAACCAGAAGAAGCATTACACAGTTTTAAAAGTGTATTCATAAGAATTAAGCATTATGTGTGCCAGCATGAGACTAGTGTGATAAAATGGCTTACTAATCTTGTCTGTGCAAGCATTTTTAAGCTCCAGGTATGACGGTGTAAATACAGTACCTTTCACTTTCACATGAAAGAAAATCTCAAAAGCTCAAAATACTTTTAACTTCTATTGTAAACACTATTACTGTAAATGTAAATTGTTTTTACAAAATGGAGGAAGAATGAAAAATTGATCGCCCCCTTAGAGCGTAACATGTATTAAAATCACATTCCTTTATCCTTTACTTTAAAAAACGGTCATTTTGAATAGACGTTTATTTCTCCGCAGACGAACGGCTTCTTTTTCAGCTGGCCTTTTATTTTGTTAAACCCATTCCCGGAGATCTCGCGATAATTCACCAGAGCTCCGTTCGCCAGTCGGAAGAGGCGCCTGTAGAAGGAATAACATCATCAACTTATATGGGCTTTTGAATATTTCCAGTTTATAAATGTTGAAGATGGGAAGATAATACAGAATTATCTGGATCAGGTACTACACTAATTCATCACCTGACAGGATTGTATAAAACAAAAGGAAAGCATCGCGAGACGTGGATTGACACAAATGTTTACATGCTAGCTGCTAATATGCTAAGCTGAAATTTATATATGTGGTGATGAATTATAGCAACCGCGAAAACATTCAGACAAAACATGATTTATTTGTTAATTTACATTCCTACATTTACTAATATCAGTATTACATCCGCATTTGCCCAGGTAGTTTAAACTGATAATGTCAGAAAACATCAGCGAAGCTAAAAAGCTAAAGTCGTTAGTCTGTAGAGCAGTTGACAGTTCTGTGATGTTTTTCCTAGTGAGCTGTGTATTGAGTGACTAAAATATTTATTAATACTTTTACTTTTTTTATTTTTTGCAGCTGAACATACCTCACTCTGGCTTTGAAGAGGCTCATGACAGATATCTCTTGACTAGCATAGTATGACCCAGTACCCACCACAGATTAGTCGCTCTAACTTCTTCACTGTTGTGAAAGCAGAAGCCTCTTCAACACCACCCATCTCCACCAACATGGCCAACAGCACCATCGTCCCCGGGAAAGTTCCAGGCACCCCTGGACCTGCAGGGAGACTGAGCCCTGAAGGCACTCAGGTGAGACAGCAAGCAATTCAAATGTTTTAGACTTTGCCTCTATTTGTATTTGTTACATTTATGATCTAATATCCTCCGAACAGGTGCTTAGTAAGAAGAAACTGCAGGATCTTGTGAGAGAAATTGACCCTAATGAGCAACTCGATGAAGATGTGGAGGAGGTACGTATTACTCTTATTATTGATATGGTTCCTTAGTTATCCATTTTGAACATTAAAAATGAGAACATTACTTTATATTTTTATTATTTATCATTATAATACTTTTTTTCAACAAGGATGCAAAATATCTCCCTTTGCATTGAACTTTGAGCATCTTAACTTTGCAGATGTTGTTTATGCTCAAACAGAAACATTACAAACTAACTAATTTAAAAAAGTGAAATCATAATCAAGGACCCCTTTAAGCAGAAAAATATTTTACAATATTACTATTTTTACCGTATCAAATAAATGCAGTCTCTGAGTACGAGAGACTTCGTTCTAAAACAGCAAAAATCTTACCAAACCCTACCCCAAGTAGTGTCACTATATGCTGTTGTCTGTTGATACGAGTCATTTCCCTTCCCTTCAGATGCTCTTGCAGATTGCCGATGACTTCATTGAGAGTGTGGTGACTGCAGCGTGCCAACTCGCCCGACACAGGAAGTCAAACACTCTTGAAGTGAAAGATGTCCAGCTACACCTGGGTGAGGGTCTTGCATATACAATTCTCAGTGGTTTGAGTGCATTTTTATGAATTTAAATAAATACACATTTTTATTTTAAAGGATTAGTTCACTTCCAGAATAAAAATTTCCTGATGATTTACACACCCCCATGTCATCCAAGATGTTTGTGTCTTTCTTTCTTCAGTCGCAAAGAAATTAAGGTTTTTGAGGAAAACATTCCAGGATTTTTCTTTCTTCATATAAGATACTTCAATGGTGGCCAACGGGTTGAAGGTCCAAATTGCAGTTTCAGTGCAGCTTCAACGGGCCCTACACGATCCCAGCCGAGGAATAAGGGTCTTATCTAGCAAAACGATCGGTCATTTTCTTAAATAAATGAAAATGTATATACTTTTTAACCACAAATGCTCGTCTTACACTAGCTTGACCTCACGCATTACGTAGTCACGTTGGAAAGGTCACACGTGACGTGTGCTTACAAAGCGAACGTGCAAAAAAAAAAGGTAAAACAACGATGTCGGATGATTTTGAAGTTGGAGGAGAAAATGAGATGGAGTTTTTCACCCTACCCTACCTTTTTGAACCGGAGTACACAGACAAAGTGCTGCTAACCGCGCATGACCTTTCCAGTGTGATTACGTAATGCGTGAATTTGCGGACACACATCGTGGAGCTAGTGCAAGATGAGCATTTGTGGTTAAAAAGTATATACATTTAAATTTTTTTCCACTAGATAAGGCCTTATTACATTTATTACATTATTACAGACCTTAAGACATTATTCCTTATATAGATCATTATATGGAGAAAAATCCTGGAATGTTTTCCTCAAAAAAACGTAATTTCTTTGCGACTGAAGACAGAAAGATTTGAACATCTTGGATGACACGGGGGTGAGTAAATGATCAGGAAATTTTTATTCTGGAAGTGAACTAATCCTTTAATGTGTCCCTCTATGTCGAACTTGGTGTTTTTACATTTTATTTTATTACTATTAATATTATAGAAAATAAAAATAACAGTTTACATTATGTATCCTATAAATGGTTAAATCAAGGCCAATTGCAGACTGTTTGAATGTCTATCTGAAGAACTGTGTTAATATAGTCCATAATCCAACATTGCATTACAGAACGACAGTGGAACATGTGGATTCCTGGTTTTGGCTCAGATGAGATCCGACCGTATAAGAAGGCTTGCACCACAGAAGCTCACAAACAGGTCAGCTATCGTTCTCATGCACTTCAACTGATATTATGAAAAACAAATGACTTGCATATCTAAATATCATTGTCTTTTCTTTCAGAGAATGGCATTGATCCGCAAAACAACCAAAAAGTAGCAAGATTGGAAGCACCAACAAACATTTTTTTTTCTGCAAGTTTTGGAAATGGAGAGGGATTGAACCTATATATGTTATGTTAATCAGAGAGGCAGAATGCGTTGAACTATTTACAGTACGGTTCTGTTGACATTTCGCTTAGGAAGTGACGTTAAGTGATGTTAAAACCACCATGTGAACATTTTATTTGGGCACTTTAGTCTCTGGCTTGGTGCTATACTGGGGTTTATTATATTATAGAATCTCACAGACTCCTGTGAAAAACATCAATTGTTTATTGTTTCTCCCACAAACCACATTTTCATTCATATTTCATGTATAGCTGACCCGTCATGCAGTCACACAACTTTTGCTCAGCTGGCATTAATAGCTATGCACAATTACAATCACCATGTGTCTGATTTGTTCATAGTGTTCGGTGTTATAGAACTCATCACTTAAGTAATATTTAGTACTATAGAGGAAATCTTTAGTGTGTGACTTTCTAAAGGTAAGCAGTCATTTTTACCAGAGAAATAAATACCACTTCCCTATTTAATTAATTGCATTGGGACTAGTGACATAATGCAGATTGGCTAATTGGTTAGAGAGTGATATATGTGTGATGTATAGGAAATGGTGCATAAACCCCTTCTGCTGTGGGTTTGTGGGCAGATTTGAACATTTCTGTGGAGTTAAACTGAGTATAAACTTTTTTTTTTGCCATGTATCACAGTGTTTTACAGTCTCTTGTTTTTCATGAATAAAAAAGACTTATTGTGATTTATTCTCACTGAAATCACTCAGGTTGTGTTGGACATCATTTCAGAAATAACAATTAACATAAACTGTTTCAGCATTGTGTCTAGACTGGCAAATGAATATCTAAACTCCCATTATGTGTAAATGTAATATTTTAGTTAATTACTTCTACGTCTTACATACCTCCAGAATCACATGCAAGTATGAATTACAGGCAGAGCTATACATTTCAGGCAGCCCTTTCTGTATCAGCAAATATACAACCATGTTTATGGAAATATGTGGCCAAATGCATGGCAATGAACGTAATTGGATGAATAGCAGTTAAAATATTCAACTGATGCAGTAACACTGTTGCCACACTACTAAAGACACCTTTATCCAAAGTTGAGTCCAGAAATTTGAACAAACAACTGGAAATCAAATGAACACATGTATGTATATGCCATTAAACGAGTTTCAGTGTGGTTTGCAAATGCTGAAAACGTGTAGATAAGCACAAATTATCCATGCTGTTATGAAAGTTCTGGCTGATGATCAAATTTCATACCTACACTCTTAAAAATAAAGGTGCTTCAAAAGGTTCTTCACAGCGATGCCATAGAAGAACCATTTTTGGTTCCACAAAGAACCATTCAGTCAAAGGTTCTTTAAAGAACCATCTCTTTCTTACCTTTTTATAATCTGAAGAACCTTTTTTCACCACAAAGAACCTTTTGTGAAACAGAAAGGTTCTTCAGATGTTAAAGGTTCTTTATGGAACCATTTAGACAAAAAGGTTCTTCTATGGCATCGTGAAGCACCTTTATTTTTAAGAGTGTACAATCTGAAAGACCTTGACATTTGCTTTTATGTATATTTGGCAATGTCAGACCGATCCATCCTATTTGATGATCTGCACTCAAAGGTTGCGAGAACCACATATTGTAAGTTAACAAGCACAGCTCTTGTTTTTCTCAGCGGCTTCATTGTTTTGTTTCCTCTCGAGTGTTTGGGCTGTAAGTGCTGAGCTCTTGACTCCATCCCACCCATCACGCAACTGGATCTCGCCACTTTTTAAGCCCTGATAAACCCGCTGGGTCAAGAGTTCAAAGGCCTCTTTCACATTGTGACCTGTTTTGGCTGAGGCCTCGATGTATGGCGCTCCCAATTGGCTTGCGAGCTTTTCTGCCTCAGTTCGGTCCACGGCTCGCTCTCCAGCTTTGACCTGGTCACTTTTGTGTCCCACCAGCACAAAGAGCACAGTGTAGGGTTGTACACGTTCGCACACCTCTGCATACCACTGCTGCACGTTTTCGAAAGATTTGCGGTTGCCCAGATCGAACACCAGAAGACCTCCGACTGAGTTACGGTAGTAGGAGCGAGTCACAGACCTGAAACATACCATAGTTTTAGGGTTATTTTTTCCCCTCTTTACTATGATAATCAATAATCTGTTTATACATTGCATTACATTCTGGCTCCATTTTAGTACATAACGACTTCTTTTTACCAACCAATCAATTTCCGATGGATAAAATCCAATTACTCTTATGTTCTTTCTCACTGGATGATCTGTATCATTCCAAGGTCCTTTTAAAGGTAAGTCAGTTCACTCTGCATTTATAAATGCAATGCCCTCCAACTATTTCAGGCATGCAAGACCAACTCCTATTTACTTGAATGGGGAAATGCTGAAATTGCAAAAACTGCTTGTCAAACTCACATTTAAATAATGTAAAATCAGCAATAAATTCTTACATGAACTGTGGCATAAATGTTATTTCTTATTATTTCTTATCCTCAAATAGCATTAAATAACGAAACTTTAAACATGGAACCTTTCCATTACACAAAAGAGTCTATATGAAAAAAAAAAAGTTTCTTTAGATTATTCAAATGTTCTTCACACTAAGAAAACAATGGAACTGTTCACTGAAAGGTTCTTTGGGGAACCCAAAGTGATTCTTATATAATATGGATTTGCTGCCATAAACATTCTTTTGGAACCTTTATTATTAAGAGTGTAGTAAAACGAGTGAACTGGCATTTTATTTAGCAGTTAAAATTGACATGATACCTTAAATCAAATAATGTATTTTATTTGCCTCCTCCACCTCGTCACAAGGCTTGCCTCCCACGAGACTTTGGAATGACATGAGGGTGAGTAAATAATGACATAAGTTTCACATTTTGGTGAGCTGTCTGTTTAAAGTCATCCATGTATACCAGAAAACAGGCCCAACTCAAGCTCTAAGAAGTCAGATGGACCATAGTTCTCTCCGGGTGGGCTGAACAGTTGGCACGATTGCCAGGATGGGCCAATTAAGTGGGTCAAGACCAAAACACCCGCCCCTCCACTCACCCGTGGAGCCAGGCCTGACAGTGAATCCATTTTTAGTGTAGACTGACAAAATACTTCCTGGAAGTATCATGCAAATATTTGTTTCACAAATATGTTTCACAATCCTGTTTTTCAGAAGCAAGGCAACTTCTTCAAACTGTTTTTAGACACTGAGCTTATGAGTAAACATACAGAAGCTACTTTAAGGGGAAAATAGTCCTTCTTGTTGTTGATTGTTCAACTTAAACAGGGCTGTCCAATCCTGCTTCTGGAGGGCCACTTTTCTGCACAGTTTAGCTTTAACCCCAAATAAACACACATGGTAATCAAGGTCTTCAGGATTACAAGAAACAGACAGGTGTGTTGGGGCAAGTTGGAGCTAAACTTTTCAGGACGTTGGCCCTCCGGTAGCCGGATTGGACACCCCTGACCTTTGGTATTTGATTTTGGAGAACACTGTTTGTTCAATCCATGGTAGAACATTTGAAATGTTTGGACTTACCTAAACCTCTCTTGACCAGCTGTATCCCAGAACTGAAGTTTGACCCTCACCCCAGGTTCCACCTCTAGGAAGTGTACATAGAAGTCCACTCCGACTGTTTGGTTGATGCACTCCAGAAACAGATCTTCTGTGTAGCGCTTCAACAAGGATGATTTGCCCACTGTGGAGTCTCCTAACATGATTATTCGAAACTGGTACTGCCACAAAGTGAGAGCCATGACTTCAACCAGACGAATGGGGCGAATAAAAAGACTAGGGTTGACTAAAGACTGTCACTCCACCAGGATCCTCAGAGATTTGACCAGAGAACCCCTTACCTTAGAGGTCTTGAAGTTCTCATTGTAAACATAGGTAGAAATAAACCCATAGTTCCTCAGGTTCTCCTGTGTTGTTCTGCAAAGGCAGCGTCTGTTTGAACGTCGTAGGGGTGAGAGCTTCTGTCTAGCTCATCTGTTTTTTTAATCTTTGCCTGTTCATACTTGTTATTGGGTGGGGTTTATGTGAGAGGCGGAGTTTATAAATACCAGCAGAAAGTTAGGAATTTCTCAAGAGACCAGAGGGAACAAGCATGCAGTATCATATCAGAACAAGCCCAGTATTTCCTGTTGAGGCTAGCTCATGGCATGCATCACATAAAAGCACTTGTAATGAGGAAAAACATTTCAGCTAAGTCTTTCTCAATAGGCCAACCATGAGAATGCTTCCACCCAGGTCAAAACCTCTGAAGATGTGCTGGAAGACTTCCAATGTCATGATGAAATCATGCCCACTATACTCCTCACCAGTGTGCATTACAGGTTAGTTTGCTACAAAACGTTTCCACAGTTATGTGGCTTTCCAAACAGGAGGTGAACAACAATGGAACAGACTCCCTTAGGACACAGAGAGACAGACAGTTTAGGCCGGTGTCGGCTTGGGCTATAAATAGAGTATTTCACTTTGTTTTAAGATAATTTAGTTTAGTGGACTACTTTGTAAATCCAGTGGACCTTTAATTGTAATGCTATCAACAATGTGTTACTGCTATTAGTCTTTGTATATACGGAAGCCTAAAAAGCCACTGATAGGCCTATGCACGCTGAGCCTGTTCAGACACTTTTTATAGTTATAATGAAAGTAATTCATACCAGAACAGCAAGCGTGGGGATCCAATGAAGCGGAATAAATGTTCATTATTTACTAACAGATGGGAAAAGCAGACATAAGACGTAATATAGTATTATTATGGTAGTTTAATAGACTAAAATGACCATTAAAACGTGAACATTTTTCTCACGACTCCTTACAGCTTGCTTTACAGGTGCATCTCAATAAATTAGAATGTCGTGGAAAAGTTCTTTTATTTCAGTAATTCAACTCAAATTGTGAAACTCGTGTATTAAATAAATTCAATGCACACAGACTGAAGTAGTTTAAGTCTTTGGTTCTTTTAATTGTGATGATTTTGGCTCACATTTAACAAAAACCCACCAACAAATTAGAATACTTCATAAGAACTTCATACTTCAATAAAAAAAACATTTTTAGTGAAATGTTGGCCTTCTGGAAAGTATGTTCATATACTGTACATGTACTCAATACTTGGTAGGGGCTCCTTTTGCATTAATTACTGCCTCAATTCGGCGTGGAATGGAGGTGATCAGTTTGTGGCACTACTAAGGTGGTATGGAAGCCCAGGTTTCTTTGACAGTGGCCTTCAGCTCATCTGCATTTTTTGGTCTCTTGTTTATCATTTTTCTCTTGACAATACCCCATAGATTCTCTATGGGGTTAAGGTCTGGTGAGTTTGCTGGCCAGTCAAGCACACCAACACCATGGTCATTTAACCAACTTTTGGTGCTTTTGGCAGTGTGAGCAGGTGCCAAATCCTGCTGGAAAATGAAATCAGCATCTTCAAAAAGCTGGTCAGCAGAAGGAAGCATGAAGTGCTCCAAAATTTCTTGGTAAACAGGTGCAGTGACGTTGGTTTTCAAAAAACACAATGGACCAACACCAGCAGATGACATTGCACCCCAAATCATCACAGACTGTGGAAACTTAACACTGGACTTCAAGCAACTTGGGCTATGAGCTTCTCCACCCTTCCTCCAGACTCTAGGACCTTGGTTTCCAAATGAAATACAAAACTTGCTCTCATCTGAAAAGAGGACTTTGGACCACTGGGCAACAGTCCAGTTCTTCTTCTCCTTAGCCCAGGTAAGACGCCTCTGACGTTGTCTGTGGTTCAGGAGTGGCTTAACAAGAGGAATACGACAACTGTAGCCAAATTCCTTGACACGTCTGTGTGTGGTGGCTCTTGATGCCTTGACCCCAGCCTCAGTCCATTCCTTGTGAAGTTCACTCAAATTCTTGAATCGATTTTGCTTGACAATCCTCATAAGGCTGCAGTTCTCTCGGTTGGTTGTGCATCTTTTTCCTTCCACTCAACTTTCTGTTAACATGCTTGGATACAGCACTCTGTGAACAGCCAGCTTCTTTGGCAATGAATGTTTGTGGCTTACCCTCCTTGTGAAGGGTGTCAATGATTGTCTTCTGGACAACTGTCAGATCAGCAGTCTTCCCCATGATTGTGTAGCCTAGTGAACCAAACTGAGAGACCATTTTGAAGGCTCAGGAAACCGTTGCAGGTGTTTTGAGTTGATTAGCTGATTGGCATGTCACCATATTCTAATTAGTTGAGATAGTGAATTGGTGGGTTTTTCAGTTAAACCTAAATTGAATAACTCTGCGCGCTGAAAAGACCGAACACGCAAGAGACCTTCATCCGCCACTGGATACCTTCCTTGGGCCATGTGTGCGGACCTTACAAGTACATGTACAGTAAATGAATGTACTTTCCAGAAGGCCAACAATTCACTAAAAATGTTTTTTTTATTGGTCTTATGGAGTATTCTAATTTGTTGAGATAGTGAGTTGGTGGGTTTTTGTTAAATGTGAGCCAAAATCATCACAATTAAAAGAACCAAAGACTTAAACTACTTCAGTCTGTGTGCATTGAATTTATTTAATACACCAGTTTCACACTTTGAGTTGAATTACTGAAATAAATGAACTTTTCCACGACATTCTAATTTATTGAGATGCACCTGTAAATGTCTATTAATATGTAAGCTGTGCATTTTTGTAGCCTTCCCTTCACTAAACCGGTTTGTAATGACATGCATTTTTTCTCGATGGCCGCTAGGGGACGTACAATCTTTTCCTATGACAATGAAACCGCAACCAGCATATTTTTATTTATTTATTTTTTATTATGCTTCCATTTACAACAAACAAACAAGGTACATAAACACATCACATAATCTAACAACACGTGAACAGACTTAGGTTGAGCATAACCAGTGACAAACAAGATCACAATAAACCAATAATAAAGAAGAAAAGAAAAGAAAGAAATAAAACAAATAAAACAAACCAAAAGGGGCTTTTTACATTAGTTTATGCATGCCCCAAAAACGAAATCCATTTGAGAGCTTTCTTGTTTTTAACCAATTCTAAAGATTTGCACAAAATGTTAACCTCATTCATCCACTGGTTAAAGTTGGGTTTAGATTTAAACCATCTACATTTATGAATGAAAAACTTTCCAAGACAAAGCAAGAAATTCATAACAAAATCCAACTCTTTGTTTTCCAGACAAATACCAAACCTACTTAACTTCATCGTAAGGAGTGGGAGTTCTCTCTAGACTGTAGCCAGTTCTGTACATCTCTCCAAAAAAGTTGCACCAAATCACAACAAAAGAAAACATGCTCTAGATTTTCAATATTCGTTTTACAAAAAACACAATTATTCACATCCAAATTAAATGTCAGTTTAAAAAATTCATTGGTAGGATAAATCTCATTTCAAATTTTGAAGTTCACCTCCTTAACTTTAGGAGGAAGAGGAAAAGATATATAGCTTTTCCTAATTTTTTTTACTTTCCATAATATCAAAACTTTGAGCATGTATTCCCTTCTAATAGGGTATCTACACAGAGAGATAAATGACAAATATCGACATGCTAGACCAGACAAATGAAACAAGACATTTACTGGTGTGAGGTTTGGGCGCCACCTGCTGTTTTGACCTGTTAAATTCACAGAAAAGTTTAAAGCGTAGAAAATGTATATATTATGAACACAAATACATAGCATGATAAGTGTATGCATATTTAATATCGTAGCTGTTTTAGTGCGATTCGTTGACTATACGAAAGTGATATTAAGTACAGATACTGTACTTTAATCTTAATGTACCATCAGCCCGGCTAGCTCAGTCGGTAGAGCATGAGACTCTTAATCTCAGGGTCGTGGGTTCGAGCCCCACGTTGGGCGCACAGTTTTTCCCACCTCACAGAGGTTTACAATGTATCTCCATTTAGTTCCCGTTCAAAATCTTAAAGGGGTCATATGATGCTTTTTTAAAGATCATTATTTGGTGTATTTGGTATAACAGAATATGTTGACATGCTTTAATGTTCAAAAAACACAATATTTTTCAAATACTGTACATTATTGTAGGTCCTCTATGCCCCGCCTCTCTCAAACGCTTCGTTTTCTACAAAGTCCCTCCTTCCGACAAGCGCAGTCTGCTCTGATTGGCCAGCTGACCCAGTGCATTGTGATTGGCCGAACACCGCAAGCACTCGTCAGAAATGTAACGCCCCTTACCATAATCGCGAGCTTCATCTTTCAAAATAAATATAAAGACAGGAGCCGGAAAGGGGAACAGAGTCACGTGACAGACACAGTAATGATGCAGTACACAAGCCACGGTTAAGACAGCTGACTCCACTGTGATGTAATCTCTCTCTCTCTCTCACGCGCACGCGCACACACACACACACACACACAATGCGCAAAACTCCGCATTTGAACAGTCAATAACAAATACTTAAACTAATAACAAAACAGTAGCTGATTCAGAAGAAATAAATAGAACAAATAAAACAAACCAAAACCAAAAGGGGCTTTTTACCTTAGTTTATACATGCCTCAAAAACGAAATTAATTTGAGAGCTTTCTTGTTTTTAACCAATTCTAAAGATTTGCACAAAATTTTAACCTCATTCATCCACTGGTTAAAGTTGGGTTTAGATTTAAACCATCTACATTTATGAATGAAAAACTTTCCAAGACAAAGCAAGAAATTAATAACAAAATCCAACTCTTTGTTTTCCAGACAAATACCAAACCTAATTAACTTCATCGTAAGGGGTGGGAGTTCAACCTCTCTAGACTGTAGCCAGTTCTGTACATCTCTCCAAAAAAAGTTGCACCAAATCACAACAAAAGAAAACATGCTCTAGATTTTCAATATTCGTTTCACAAAAAACACAATTATTCACATCCAAATTAAATTTCAGTCTTAAAAATTCATTGGTAGGATAAATCTCATTTAAAATTTTGAAGTTCACCTCCTTAACTTTAGGAGGAAGAGGAAAAGATATATAGCTTTTCCTAATTTTTTTTACTTTCCATAATATCAAAATCTTTGAGCATGTATTCCCTTCTAATAGGGTTAGGATAATAAGCCTTTAAAATAAAATCTCTAATGACTCTATTTGTACATTTTTTTTTAATCACAAAAATCCTAACCTTCTAAGGAGAGCTGTCTCAGTTCTGGGGAGACTTTGGAGTACAACATGTCTTCTTTAACTATTAATCTTACAGCAATTGGAATGGCTCTAATTATTCTATTGTAAGTATTAACAGAACACTGCAGCTGGAATTTTTCACAGAATTCTCTATACAGTAACAAATTTCCATTATCATCCAAGAAATGGGCAATCGCCCAAATTCCTTTGGATTTC